TCTTTGGGTATTACCAGCCCCCTACCCCAGCATGACACACAATCCTTTACATATCTATTAAATAGCAAAAAGGTATAAATCCAAGGAAGAAAATAACAAGGAAAAAACCAAAAGATATACTTGGTTAATTTTCTACTAAATTATCGTTTTACTGTATTTGTTCCTTGGCGTTATCTAACACTGTATGGTTTCCCTGATGCAAAGGGAAGAGTCAAGGTAATTTTGGATTCAGTTACCCATAGAAATTAGCTTGATCCTAATGTATATATGACCCAGACTTCTGAACTCCTTTCTTATACCAATTTGGTAACTCAAAGAGAAGATTATCTAGGATCTAAGATTATAAGGAAAAACAAACCTTGAAGGACCAATGAGGTATTTGGAAATACTTCAATCTTGGAAGTGCAATTAGTTCCAAATGAACTTGGACTTGAGAAATTAAACTAGAGGAAATAAAATGATCTTCAGATATATCATCGTAAAAAGACTAGCCATTTAGAATTTCTTACCTAAATCTCTCTCTCTCTCTTTTCTTTTTTTTTGGCAAGGAAGATTGGCCCTGAGCTAACATCTTTGCTAATCCTTCTCTATTTTTGTATGTGGGATGCCACCACAGTGTGGTTCGATGAACGATATGTAGGTCCACACCCAGGATCCAAACCTGCAAACCCTGGGCCACCAAAGCAGAGCCTGCAAACTTAATCACTACACCACTGGGCCAGCGCCATAAAACTCTCTTTTTTTAAAGAAACATACAAAGGAGAGGTATGTATAACTTAGATTCAGAGAAAATTGGCACAGAATATATCAACGTCATCTCTTTTCTTTTCAGTAAGTCAGTTCAACATCTGTAGTCCACCTACTTTATACCAGGTTCTGTGCCTAGCACTGGGATTAGAAAGATGAATAAAACATGATCCAGTCTTTATAGGAGTTTAGAGTCTGGGAGAGGCGAATAGACATAGAAAGACATCTCCTAAATTTTATAATATGGTGAGTGTGTAATACTCAAGATGCCAGAACTATCATAGAAATTTAGAGGTACCACCAAACTCAAATTGGAGATCAAAGATGGCTTCCTAGCAGAAGTGATGCCTGAAGTGCCTCAATTTTCTTATCCATAAAATGGGGATTAGAATGCCTGCCTTGCTGGACTTTTGCAAGGACTTATTAAGATATAAAGTAAAACACTTAGCAGAGTGCTGTTACATATTAAACACTTAGAAAATTGTTGTGGTAGTGATGATGATGATGATGATATGATGATGATGATGATGATGATGATGGTGATGATGATGATCCATGGAGTCAGAGGCAACAGCTTGAACAAAGACAGAGAAGTTCTTTTAACACCTTGGACTTCACACTCAATCCAAGGTGATCCCTTTTACTAAAAAGATAGCCTAGAAATTGTTAATAGCCTCATTAGTAAAATGTTGTCCATGACAATGGTATAATTAAAAGCCAAACCCTGCATCCCTTTCTAATATATACCCCAAGATAGAATTAGGTCCAGCCCCAAATACCAGGAGAACTGATGGGAAATGCTAAACTGTTCTAGAATTGTTCAAACCTTTATAGCCTCCAACACACATAACTTTGTTACATGAGCTAAATAAGCCTTTTCCTAAGAACTGAGAAGTAATAAGAAGTGAAGTGAAAAGTTCCCCCAAAGTGAATGACTGTATTTGATTTTAGAAAGTTACCAGTTACTCCTGAATCTTTCTGTAAAGAATCTGTATCAGTTATCTCTTGCCACAATAATGCAGCATAACAAACAATCACAAAACTTTAGTAGATTAAGACAACAATAAATGTTTACTTAGCTCATGAGTCCGTGGAGTCCAGTTGACCTGGACAGTGTTCACCTGTTCTTGCATGGGCTTGCTTATACATCTCAGGTCAACTGCGAGTCAGCTAGGTGGCTCTGCTGATGGTGGCTGGGCATGCTCACATTTCTAGGGGTTGGCTGGCTGTTGGCTTATCTATAATGGGTTGACTGGGATTACTAGAGTGACTTAGGTTATCCAAGGATCAGAGAAGGAGCAAATCTGAACATGCAAACACTTTTCAAACCATTACTTGTATCATATTTGCTAATATCTCATTGCCAAATCAAGTCACTTGACTGATTTTGGAGTCAGAGTGGGAGAGCATTACAAAGTTACAAGGCAAAGGGTGTGGATGAGGGAGGGGTTAAGATTTAGGGTCATATTTCACCATACCACAGTTTTCCCTTTGGCCAAAATTCAAATATTTCCCACATGCAGAATATGTCAAGCCCATCCTAGGACCCCCAAAAGTCTCATCCAATCATGGAAGCAGGCTTAAAATCCAGGTTCTCATGATCTACAAGTTCAAATGTGATTCCTCTTGATGCAAAGACTTATAAACTAGAAAGACAGATTGTCTGCTTCCACACACCCCACATACAATGAGGAAACAGGGACAAAATAATTGCAATAAATGCTCCCATGCTTGAAGTGGAAGAATGGGAGGCACATAGTGGTTACTGGTCCACAGTAGTTCTGAAATCCTACTGTGCAAATAGTGAGAGTGAGTTCCAGAGGAGATTCCCCTATCTGGGAGTGGGAAAGGTTTTTTTAATTAGACCCTGGTTCTGCTACCTAGGAATGGTTTGTCAGTCTATTCTCCACAGCTGTTAGCTCTGCCCTCTGAGCAGCTTTCTCTGTCTGCTTCCTGTCCAGAGAAGATTGGAGGCCTAGAGGCCTTTTTACATTTTGAACAGTCTCTGTCTCTTTTAGTTTTGGTTGGTGGCTTTTTTTGGCCATTACAGGTATCTCAGTGATATGTGGATTTCATACAAATTTGACTTAATTCCATATGTTGAAAAACATACCCCAAATCCTTTTGGAGACATGCCTTTCTTTTTGTGTGAATCAGTGCTAATTTGGGACTATCAAGCTGCTATGAGTCCCAAAAGTTCTTTTATCCCATTGAGAAGGTCTACTCTGTACTGCCTTGAATCTTTCAGAGGTCTCAACAGAGATCTCATAGCCCCACACTTGATTTGGTCTGTATCCTGAGGCCATAGCTTAATTTGAGAACTCTACTGCATTGAGAAGCTGGACATGAGAAACAATTTTGTTTTCCAACTTAGCAAATTCTGGCCCCCCTATATTCTATAAAAATTCTGCCTGCAAACTGGCCAGTTCTTTTTCTGAGCTCTTCTCTTTCTTGGAGTGGCTTATTTATATGCAGGAGCTAGTAAGAATCAGTTGATACTTTCAACATTCTTCCTGGAAATCTTTGCTCAAGTCCTAATGTTCATTTGGTACATTTTCTGTCTTCTAGGTTACTGCAGGCTATACTTTTACCGAATATGTTTCTGCTACAAACATGGGTCACCATTTCTTAAGCCTCTCCTAATAATCTCTTGACCATTTTTCCAGCCTAAATCTATTGTCAATCTCAAAGCTAAATGCCACAAGCTTTAGGTTTTGTTACAGCAGTACCCCACTTCTAGGTATCAATGATCTGTTGACACAATTATGTTTCAGAACAAATAATGACAAAATCTCAGCATTCAACATAAATGTTTATTTAGCTCAGGCATCTGTGTAGTTTAGCTGATTCAAGTTGAACTTACAGGTTCTTGGCTAGGCTTACTCACTTGTATGGGAGTCCACTGGCTTGTCTAGAATGGCCTTGGCTGGGATTACTTGTGTAATTTAGGTGTGCTCCAGGTGCCTTCCACCCTCTAGCAGCCTGGACATATTCTCATGGAGGTCTCCAGGGTGTCTAAGCCAGGGCAAGCTTCCTATACGTAAACTAAGATGGATAACCTAAATGGATATAAATGGATGGACAGCTCATAGACCTAAACATGAGACTCAGAACCATAAAACTTCTCAAAGAACATGGGAGGCCCCAGTTGCCTAATGGATAAGGCACTGGCCTCCTAAAAGAACATAGGAGGATATTTTCAAATCATGAAATAAAAAATTGATAAACTAGACTTTATCAAAATAAGAAATTTCTTCTTATCAAAAGTTACCATTAAGAAAATGAATAGAGGGCTAGCCCCATGGCTGAGTGGTTAAGTTTGCATGCTCTGCTTCAGCAGCCCAGGGTTTTGTTGGTTCTGATCCTGGGCATGGACGTGGCACTGCTCATTAGGCCATGCTGAGGCGGCATCCCACATGCCACAACTAGAGGGACCCACAACTAAAATATACAACTATGTACTGGGGGGATTTGGGGAGAAAAGGCAGAAAAAAAAAAAGAAGATTGGCAACAGTTGTTAGCTCAGGTGCCACTCTTTTTTTTTTTTTTTTTAAAGATTTTATTTTTTCCTTTTTCTCCCCAAAGCCCCCCAGTACATAGTTGTCTATTCTTCGTTGTGGGTCCTTCTGGTTGTGGCATGTGGGATGCTGCCTCAGCGTGGTCTGACGAGCAGTGCCATGTCCGCGCCCAGGATTCGAACCAACGAAACACTGGGCCGCCTGCAGCGGAGCGCGCGAACTTAACCACTCGGCCACGGGGCCAGCCCCTCAGGTGCCACTCTTAAAAGAAAAAAAGAAAATGAATAAATAAGCCACAGGTTGGGGAAAAAAAAATTTGCAATATCTGACAAGACTTGTATCCAGAATATGTAAAGAACTCCTAGAAATTCATAATAAAAACAAACAACCCAATTAACAATGGGCAAAGGACTTGGTCAGACCTTCCCAAAGGAGATGTAGGAATGGCCAGATGAAAAGGTGCTCAAATGTCGTTAGTTATTGGAGTAAAATGCATGTGGAAACCCATCAGAACAGCTTAAATTAAAAAGATAGACAACACAAAATATTGGCAAAGAACTAGAGTAACTGGAACACTCATTTGGTGTAAAATGGTGCAACCATTTTGGAGAATTGTTCATCAGCTTCTTACAAAGTTAAACATGCACCTACCCTAAGTTCCATCAATTCCACTCCCAGGTATTTACTGAAAAGAAATGAAAACATATGTCCACACAAAGTCCTGGACAAGAATATTTGTAGCAGCTTTATATATAATAGCCCCAAACTGGAAACAACCCAAACACCCTTCAAAAAGAGAAAGGATAAGCAAATTTTGGTGTAGCCGTACATGATAGATCTCAAATACATTGTGTGAAGCAAAAAGAAATCAGACAGAATAACAGGTCCACTCTCTATAATTTCATTTATATGAAATTGAAATAAAGGCAAAAGTAATCTACGATGATAGAAATCAGATAGTGGTGTCTGGGGGTGGGGAAGGCAGTTGACTGAAAAGAGGCATGGGGAGCTTACATGGAAATGCTCTTACTTTGTTTTGGATAGTGAACACATGGGTTTATACAATTGTCAAAACTCATCACACTGAGCACTTTAGATTTGTGCATTTTATTGTATGTTGATTCTACCTCCATAAAAAATGCAAAAGAAACGAAAAAGAGTTGCACTAGTACTTTTCAAGGTCCTGCTGTGTCACATTTGCTAGCATCCTATTGACCAGAGCCAGTCACATGACCAAGCCCAGCATAAGAGTTGAGGTCACTAAAACTGACATGGTGGAGGGCACTGATAGAGGAAGGGATGAAAAACTATGGCCAGATTTTTTCCCAATCTTACACAGAATCCACGCAGGAAGGCCCAATGGAACATGTATAATTAAGATATTGTGCTCTCCGTTACACTAGAGGCCTCCAGAATAAATCTGAGAAGCTAATTGACCTTCCATTAAGACTGGTCTCCAAAAGAATTTTTCCCTACTGTGGGATTTTTCTCTAAAGATGGTTTCAGTTTGGATGATCACCAATTATGTTTTAAAGACAGGGAGTAGTTGTGTCTCTGTGTGGTTACTCTTCTTTCTACAGTACAGCTCACAGCTTGAAGGAGAAGCTTCAAGAACAAGGAAATGACTACTGCCTCCACCCCACTTTAATTTATTTTTTAATTACAAAAGTAACATCTTCTTTTAAACCTTGAAATAGTACAGAAGTATACAAAGTTAAAATGACAAGTCCCTGTCTCTTTTTCCCTTAACTGTCTCAGTCCCAGAGGCAACCACTATTATAGGTGGTGAGATTCCTTCTAAAGCTTTTATTTCTAAGTATATATAAACATATACACACATCACTTATAATTTTCTTTTGTTGTGGTGTTCTGTTTTGTTTTTGCACAAATGGGAACTACCATGCATGCAATTATACAATGTGATTCATGTCCCTCTCCAATGGACATTATCTTTGTTTGGGTTTGTCCCCAAAGCAGAGTTTGAGTAAAGGACTTAGGACCAGGTAGTTGTTTTTTTTCTTTTCTTTCTTTCTTTCTTTCTTTTTTTTTTTTTTTTTAAGGTAATTCCAAGAATCTGGAATGAAATATTAAGGAGAGTAATACGGAGAAGGAGGGAAAACCAATAAAAGTAGGATCATTGAGATGACTGGTGCTTTGGCCTAGGGATCTATTCTAGGGATCAATGTCATGGAGACTCTAAGTAACCATGTAGAATGTGCCTCAGAATTATTCCCCCAAAGGATGGGAGACATCCCCCATTTGCTTAGGGTTGCCTCAAGAGGATGATTCCCCAGTACTTCCTGTCTACTCTGGGAGGGCTGAGAAAGTTCCTCACTTTGGAGAAAGCTCTGGGGTAGAAAAGCTGAGAGACTGCAGCTGGCACTTGAGCTGGGAAGCCATCAGCATGTACGGGAGCTGTCTACCACAGCTGCAGCTGAGGTTAGGACTGAAAGAGTGTGGCGTGGGGCACCATTAACATCTGTTTCTGTTGTCTTCCCATAGTAGCACACATAGATCTCTGTCCTTCTTTTTAAGGGCTGCATAGCATTGTCTGGATGTACCATAATTAAATTAACTAGAACCCAATGACAGACATTGAACATGTTTTCTCTTTTTTTGCTGTTAAAAATGATGCTTCTCTATCACATTCTGATCAACCAGGCCAGCTGAAAGTCTGAGTTGAAGTACCGTGAAGCAGCTGAAAAACGGTGTGTTGATATTTGGCATTCTTCCCAAAGGAAGAATAAGATGTCATCTTTGGCTGGCCCTAGTCTCTGCAAGGCAAATTGAATAGACCAAATTATAAAGATAATTATACGAATTATACAGATCATCCAATATGGTAACATTTGCACCAACAAAATTTCCCATTTGATCTGTCTACTCATTTGTGCTTACTTGGATAACTCTACCCCACCTCCTTTGACTGAAATTGCTAGTTATGCCCTTTTAAAGTGAGAGACATTCCTCCTCCAGTCGTCTTGCTGATGTCCCAGCCCTCCAGTTAGACCCACACTCCTATCCAATCCAGCTTTCCATTTGCAACCTCGTGACATAGCTATGGCCCTACTCAGGCAGTCTGGTTTGGGAAGGCCCTAATGCCTCTCTTGTGACAACAGACTGCAAGGACCTGAGCCCACATCTTACCCAAGATCCGGATAAATTAAACATATGTAGCAGATCAAATTCTGCAATTAAAGTGCCCAGCTCCAAAAGGCAAATGAGGTCAGTTTCGCTGATGCTCAGGGCTCTTTGAACTGTATTTCTCCAGGACTAAAATAATTGGAAAATTGTCAGTATGGAGAACTAAAACAAACCTTTTTGAAAGGCCCTTTTTCTCTCTTTGATTATAATACATTTTTATTATAGCAAATGTAAAAATGTATCAAAAAGGAAAAAATTTCTCATAATTACATAACCCAGAATTTATGTATTTCCTTATATTTGATAGACTTTAATTTTTCTTGACATAGTTTTGAACTTTCTAAGCACTCATTTGCTGACTCGATACTTTTAGGAGACATAGTTGCTCTGGTTTAGCTAGATTCTGCTAAGCCTTAGACAACGTAGAGTGGAAAGAGTATTTTCCAGGTGCCACTTCTAGGTCTCAATAAAAGGCCATATTGCCAAGCCACCTTTACCTGTGTAATCACCTCAACTTTTACTAAGTGCCAGCCTATGGGCTAAGAGTAGGGAAGTGTGTCATTGATATCTCAGATCAAGGCACAAGTATGATTAATCTAACTATTTGCTTTTCTTTTGTGGTCTCTATTCTTGAGATGCAGCTGGCTGTCATTATTCACAGTGATTACATTGATAATGTTGCTGTGAACACTTGAGTTAGCAAATACTGAACCATTGCTTCTAGGGGAAATACAGAGTTAGGTTCCTGCAAGTCACTGATCACAACATTTTTGTCAACTGATCAATACATAACCTAGTTTTATATGTTTAAAGACACCTTATTTAATAGATATTATTGATTCATTAACATTGAACTCACAGGTAACAGCGCTATAATTTGTGCCTGAATGACGCTTATCTAACACACATATTTTCTCCATAAGGCACATCACAGCCTTCTTGTGCTTAGGAACGCTAGACAGCACTTGAGCACTATGCTGGGGGGTCATTTAAACAGTGAAGTCACCAAGAAAAAGCACAAAAATGTGAAAACCATGGCGCTAAATAGACCGTGAAAAGGGTACTTCTTTACAGTAGGATTGCTGAAACAAGAAGGTAGAGCGTTGCCCTTATATCTCAGCTGGGAATGTGTGCTGTTAGATGACAAATGTTTTGCCACTCTGCATGTGTCCACAAATGGCCCTGAAAGCTCCACCAGGATTGATTGTAGGGTTACAAATAAATTTTAGAAAGTAGGCAAATTTGTAAATTCGGAATCCTCTTATAACAAGGATGGACCGTATTTAGACTGAATGGTAAGACATCACTTTCCCTTTAAATATACTCTGACCCTGACGTTGCTCTCTGGCCCAGCAGAACACTGAGAAAGTGAGCTTAGGTAGGGAAGTTGGGACAAGAGGCAAGGTATAATTTAAAATGAAGGGAGAGACTTTTCAGTCCCACATATACATAACCTCCTGAAGTCTAAAGTCTTTGCAACACGCTGCTCCAGCTCTTATTTGTTCTTGCTGTTTGTTTGATTGATTTTGACAGGGGCTTCCTTGCAAGCCATATGGAAACAGTGTATTGACTTTCCCTGCTATATATTTAGAGGACCATCTTAATTCTTAGTTTGAAAACAGTGAAGCAAAAACACAAATATCAGTAACAAAATAGGCAAAGTTTGTGAGAAAGAATTTCAAGGGGGAACTCGGTTAAACTATATGCACTTGTCGGGGCCAGCCCCATGGCCAAGTGATTAAGTTTGCATGCTCTGCTTCTGCGGCCCAGGGTTTCACCAGTTTGGATCCTGGGCACAGACATGGCACCGCTCATCAGGCTATGCTGGGGTGACATCCCACATGCCACAACTAGAAGGACCCACAACTAAAATATACAACTATGTATGGGGGCCTTTGGGGAGAAGGAAAAATGAAAAATAAAAATAAAATTTAAAAAAACCTTTAAAAAACTATATGCAATTGTATTAAATTTGTATTTTCTTAAAAGCAACATAAATTTTGTTAGAGTTGTTAGTAGTCCCAGTGTTAGCCATTCTATTGTTCTCACCTGGGGTCCGCTCAGTTTGTACGATATGGTAACGCCATCCACTATAAGGTACTTGATCACCTTGAGGAAAACAAAATGGCAAGAGAAGATAAAAGCTGCCCAAACTGCCTAAATTCTCGTTCTGGATAAATTCCAATCTGAATGAATTCCAGTCCTGCCAAATCTTTTAACTCTCTCAGCCTAGTTCTCAGGAGTGTCTTACAACCTCTTAATAAAGTATAATCTACATCCCTCCCAAATTACACAGTCATTCATTTACACACTCCTTTAATATCTATCCTCAGCTTTTGTCTCAAAGTGCCAATATTTTGTTTTCAATGTCTATTAGCTTTTATGCATAAATAGTCCAATATTGGGCAAATTTGTGTTATGCCCTACTCTGACTAAAAAAATGTAATTAAGAAAAGCCCAGTACTTTTTACAATACAAACTTGTGGGTTATCAACCAATATTAATTATTGACTGTATGCCAGGCACTGGGCTAAACCAGGTCACAGTTATCTTTTTCACTTTAAGAGGTAGAATCAATATTCACACCTGGCCCATGTGACCTCACAGCTTCTACAGTTTATAATTCACCAAGATATGTCATCTGTGAAACAAGTGGCATTATTAAATTGGGATTAACTATGTTTGGAATAAGAAATTGGCATAAAAATGGATATAGAACCAATCATCTTGTATTTTTTCTAAAGAGTAGAAGTTATTACAGCTCTGAGATCAACTGTACGTTCTTGGGTCAGATACTTAATCTCTCTGGTCCTAACTTTATTCATCTGTAAAATCAGGGTATAGGACTATTTTAAGATTTTATCACTCTTTTTAGAGATCTTTATACAGAACTGAGTATATCTTGAAACTAGCAAGTAGAGATACTCCACAGACTATAATGCTCCTTAAGAATATAGGCTTTTTAAAACCCACTGTATGTTCAAAAGACATTATTGCAAAGTTCTTAAATACAGGGATCAAAAATGCTTGCTATATGCCCTACACTGTTTCCTAAGGAATTTACATGCATTGTATCATTTAATCCTCAGAGAACAACTCTGTGTTAAGTTCCATTATTTTCTTCCCCTTTTTTTAGTGATGGAAACTGACACCTGAAGAGAGTAAATAGTTTGACCAAGGTCAAACAGCTAGTAAGTGCCAGAACTAGTACTCAACCCTGGCCTGCTGGATTCCAGAGCCCAAATTCTTAACCTGTATGCTAAACTGTATTCCAAAGAATCATTTAGGTTAAAGTTTAAAATCTTTTGCATCCAAGGATAATTGTATTTGAATAGAGAGACTCTTGAAGGTGCAAATCATTAATTAGAATGACAGAATGTCAGACTGGTAGAGATTTTTCTTGTTCCTCAAATTACATCAACTTTGATTATTTTCTCCTTTTTTTCTACTCTTCTCTACTTTGCAATTTTTTTGTACTGACTATGTATTATTTAAAAATTCTTTTAATAGAATTGATTTTTTAGAGCAGTTTTAGGTTCACAGCTAAACTGAGCAGAAGATACAGAGATTTCCCATATACCCTCTGCCCCTACTCAAGCACAGCCTCCCCCATTATCAACATCCCCCACCAGAGTGGTACATTTCTTAAAATTGATGAACCTACATTGACAGATTATAGTCGCCAAAGTCCATAGTTTACATTAGGGTTCATTCTTGATATTGTACATTCTGTGGGTTTGGACAAATGTATACTGACGTGTATCCACCATTATAGTATCATACAAAGTAGTTTCATTGCCCTAAAAATCCTGTGCTCCACATATTCATCCCTCCTTCCCCCCAACTCCTGTCAACCACTAATCCTTTTACTATATCCATAGTTCTGCCTTTTCTAGAATGTCATACAGTTGGAATCACACAGTATGTAGTCTTTTCAGATTGTCTGCTTTCACTTAGTAATATGCATTTAAGTATCCCCTCATGTATGTATTATTTTAAAATGGGAAGATACATGATAAATCTTTTTTTGGGAAAAAAGAAAAAGATACTACCTTAGGTGGCTGTTCTTCTCCCTATAAGATGGGCACCACTCTGATTTTGCCAAAAGACTAGAGATTTGTCAAGCTAGAACTGTTTGAACTACCAGGCGAAGCTTCTTCTGAAAGGAGTTTGCAATGTGTTGTCAGAAAAAAGCAAGCCACAGGGAAAATCAAGTCTACTGGTAAATGAGAAGGGATGTGTAATCAAAGCTGACTTGAGAAAACTTATTTTTAGAAGAGTTCATGGCTCTCAAGAAGACTGAGTGAATGGGCATATTTTACTGAGAATAATAACAAAGCCAGCATGACAGGAGCCTGGAGAGAAGGCTTATGGAACTTTTAGACCCTGTAGAAAACCAGATGGTGTATCCTGAGCGGAATACATTATAGCAGTTTTAAACTGTGATACACTGCGACAGTTGCAACATGATATCTTGGGCTCCCTTACAAGGTCACCAGTGGGGAGAAGTTGTTCATGCCTTTGTCACATGCTCCTCTTCAAGAGCAGTTGTGTTAGGCAAGGCAAAAGGAGGAAGAAGTCTACGTTTTCTCTCCATAGCACCCCCCCCCCCCCAGTCCCTTCCAGGAAACTGGAAGTGACCTCAGCTCTCCACATAGCTGGAATCCTTTTTTAGTTTCTAGAACTAATTTCCAGTTCAGTGGCCCACATCTCTGACTGCTTGGTCTACAAACTCCCTGGCTGTTCTCTGTTATCTTTTCTCTCCTCAGATCCTTCTTCAGCCTTCAGTCTTGTCTTCCTCCCTTCTCTCCCCATGTGCCACACACAGGGGTTGTGCGGCCAACCTGCTAGCTTGTACCTTTATCTTATCACCAGCCCACAGGAGCTCAGAAAAAATTAGAAGTATTAGTCAATATTTAGAGGTGCCCTCTGCTGGTTGTCAGCAACACAAAATTAAAGTTTGGAAATAGAGTTTCTTAGTGTGTTCAATAAAAATTTCTGGTGGAGACACAAGTAATAGGATAAAATATAAAAGAAAATGTTGCTGTGTATTATAAAAGCTGCTAAATTCCACAGAATTGTGTTTGGTTTAACTTTGGCTTGCAGTAGAGCAGTGGTTCTCAACTAGGGGTGATTTGGCCCCTAAGGGGACCTTTGGTAATATCTCTAGACATTTTTGGTTACCACAACTTGGGCTGGGGGTGTGCTGCTCGCATAGAGTGGGTAGAAGGAAGGGATGCTGTTCAACATTCTACAGTGCACAAGAGAGCCTTCACCGCCCCACCCCCAACAAAGAATTATCTGGCTTCAGTAGAGTGAAGCTAACTTAAATAGGACTAAGAAAGCTGAAATTAGACTAATAGAATTGTGGGGTTTGAAGCAATTTAGAGATTAGCCAAGTGGTTCTCAACCTTGGTTGGCCATGGGATCACCTGGAAAGCTTTGAAATACTGACACTTGGGTCCTTTCTCTGGAGATTCCGATTTAATTTCTGGTTTGGATGTGATCTAGGCATCAGGAGTTTAAAATCTTCTCCAGGTGTTTTTACTATTCAGCCAAAGTTGAGAGCCATTGATGTAGTCAAAACTTTCAATTTTTTGGGTGAGGAATCAGGCCCTGGAGGATAAGATCTCTATAATACAAAGAGGCAGAGCTGGGACTAATATACCATTTTCTGAAGAAAAGAAGATAACACGGCACTAGCTTGACTGTACACCATACTTCTAAAAGCAAAAACTGTGAAAATACCTTATCACTTTTTAAAAACGTTAAATTGATTATATGTTGTATCCTTTCTTTTACTTATTCTTTCTCTAAGTAACAGTTTCAATATTTTTTCCTAAAAAATAACACATTTATTTTTTTAAATTCAACCCAAGGGAAATGCAAATTAAAACCATTAGATACCATTGCACACTTTTTAGTATAGCTAAAAAAATTTTTAAAAACCCCACACTAATAACTAACAATACCAAGTGATGATGAGAAAACAGAGCAACTGGAAATCTCATAGATTGCTAGTGGGCATGCAACATGGTACAGCCACTTTGGAAAACAGTTTGGCAGTTTCTTATAAAGGTAAAGCTGTACTTACTGTGTGAACCAGCAATCTGACTCTTAGGTATTTATTCAAGGGAAATGAAAACTTATATTCACACAACCTGTACACAAATATTTACAGTGTCTTAATTTGTAATCACAAAAACAAGAACAACCCAAATGTCCTTAAACTGGTGAATGGATTAACAAACTGGAACATCCATACAATGGGATGCTGCTAAGCACCAACTGTGAACAAACTATTAATACACACAACAACATGGGGGAATCTCAAACAGGTTATACTAAGCAAAAGAAGCCAGCCTCAAAAGACTACGTATTGTATTATTCCACTTATATGAAATTCTGGAAAAGGCAAAATTATAGGAAAAGTAAACAGGTTAATGGTTTGAGGGACTGGGAGTGGGAAGAGGGGTTGAGTACAAAGGAATAGCATGAGGGAAGTTTGTAGGGTGACGAAACTGTTCTAAGTCTTGATTTTGGTGGTAGTTACATGACTATACTTTTGTCTAAAGCCAAAGAACTGTATACCAAAAACAATGAGTTTTATTGTCTGCAAATTTAAAGCAACTAAAACAGTGTGTAAAAACTTGAGAAATATACAAAAATAAAAAGCCAAAAAGCAACAAATCACCCAAAGTCCCATATCCAAAATTGAGTGTGACGTTTGGTTAACATGTTTCCAGGTATCTCTCTGTATACAGATGAAAAAAAATAGTATAAATAAATAAATATTATATTATAGGGTTTATGCATAGAATTATGTTGTAAATAATATTATATTTAATTTTACTTGACTTCATATATAAAATCACACTATAAATAATACTTTAAATTTAATTTTACTTGAATTTAACAAAGGAAATAGAAACTGAAGGGGTTGATGAACTTCAGATAATGTTTTTTTCATCACGAGTGATATTTTCTAGCATATCCCTCTAGGGTTAAGAAAAGAAATTATAAGCAGCATTAAGAGTTGGTAACTTTTAAAAGAAAATATGCACAACTTTAGACAGTACAGGTTGACTGCTTGTTAGGAAAAAATAGGTAATATGAACTCTTACATTTGCTGTTACCTCCCTTTGCGTTTGCCTTCTGATTTTTGTTGCTCATATATTTTAACTTTGTCAGGAATTATAACATTTGACTTTTGGATTACAATTATAATTCTCCCAGTTGTTTAGTCTTAACTTAATATTTAAAAGGCTTCTGTGATCACCATCAGCCCTTTTACCATGACTTTCCATTCCTGAGTTTAGTTTGATTCAACTTTGGTTGGCTGGATAACGTAGTTAACTAGTTTTTCCAAGATGAGTTTTATGGATTCTATGTGACCTGAGTTCTCTAAAATTTTAAGAAATAATATCTGCCTGTTTAAACAACAACTTTGTAGTATTTCGGGGTTACTCTTTTTCTCAGAACTTTGTAAGTATTGTTCTCTTATTTCCTGGTGTTAAATGTTGCTGAAGAATTTTTTGAGACTAACTTTATTCCCTCTTGTAGGGTGTCTTGCTTTTTCTGTCTATATGCCTGAAATATTCTTTATTTATACTTGAAGCTCACTAACCTAATCAGAATATGAATCAAATATTGAGGTTTTTATGCTAAATTTTCACTAGAGCTGGCCTGGTGGCATAGCAGTTAAGTTTGCATGCTCCACTTTGGCGGCCTCGGGTTCACCGGTTTGGATCCCGGTTTGATACGCACCACTTGTCAAGCCATTCTGTAGCAGGTGTCCCACATATAAAATAGAGGAAGATGGGCACAGATGTTAGCTCAAGGCCAGTCTTCCTCTGCAAAAAGAGGAGGATTGGCAGGAGATGTTAGCTCAGGGCTAATCTTCCTCAACAAATACAAAGAAAATTCTTTCCTCATGCGCCCTACAAAAACAGGTGGTGGGCCAAATTTGACCCACAGGCTATAATTTGCTGATGCTGGTATACACCATCAGCATTCCAGGCCCTTGCTAGAGAGCATATTCTGGAACTTTACGACTCCTATTAAAATCCCCTTTGAGGGCCTGGCCCAGTGGCCAAGTGGTTGAAGTTCCACGTGCTCCGCTTCAGTGGCCTGGGTTCATGGGTTTGGATACTGGGCGTGGACCTACTCCACTCACCAGCCACACTTTGGAGGCATCCCATATACAAAAAAATAGAGGAGGATTGGCACAGATGTCAGCTCAAAGCTAATGTTCCTCAAGTAAAAAAAAAGAAAGAAAGAAAGAAAATTCCCTTTGGGAGAAATGAATTCAGGAAATATAACCCAAAGGACATACTATCTATACACTCTTCTCTTAATTTTAGATTCTGCCTTGGAGTTGAGTTCAACTACTGGAAGACTATTAACTTGGACCAACTCAGCTCAACTCTAAACAGTTGCCTCCTCTGAACTAAATTTGAATATTATGCTTTCTTCTTTTATCAATGGTCATTACAATATAAAACAATTTTATTTCAGCTTTCGTGCTTGCAAAACAGCTGTTGTTGAAAACATTCTCCAACAAATCACACAGTGTTCCTGTACAGGGTCCCCTGTGAGGACTTTCTTTCAGAATTCCTCTGAAATAGAAGAAAACCTCTATTTTCTTTCACATGTTTTCACAGTTCTCTCTCTTGGCTAACTACGCACAATGCTTACCAAACTTCCCTCTTTACACTGGCTTCTGGAAAGTTTAGAGTTGATTTTATTCTCAATCACATCAACAATATTCGTTCAGGGCCACTGAATAGTACAACTCCAGGGACCCCAAATTAGGAGGCTATTGCAGACATAAATGAGAAGTTAATCTCTAGAAAAATGAAGGCCTTCTTTCTAAATATGAGTCCAGACCTACTTTCAAGACCCTCCCCCCTCCACCCCTTACCCAGGTGTCTTAAAAGGCCACTGTTCCTTGCAAGAGAGCTATCTTTTATGCCTCCTTGAAATAGATTATTATGTTCTCTTAGAGGAAGACAGTGAAGGACACTTCCTCTAGGAAAGCGATTACCTGAAGGGTCTCTCTGGAAGCTCAACTTTCTATGTTGCGTAAACCGCACAGAGAAGTGCAAGGAAAAAACTAGAAGAAATACTGGTCAGAACCTGGCAGGTCATTTCCTTATGCCAAACCTGAAACAGGGCGTACCTGTGACTGGCTCTAGACTCTGAAAGGCCATACTCACACAGGGCCAACCTGACTA